CCTTTCAAAGCAGTGACAGATTCCTCATATACACTTTGAAATGATCATGAATGTGCGACGCCCCTTATATGGGCTCTCTCAGTTTGTTTATAAATTCCACACATGGACTTGTTTTCCAGTTTAGAGCGAACATTAGTGTATGGAATTTTTGACAATGCCACTCTGTCAGACTTTGAGCCGCAGACATGCTATGGTGACTCGATGAAGGGCGCTTTGAGTGACAAACACGTTATGATGACTCGATGAAGAGCGCTTTTGAGCGACAGACACGTTATGGTGACTCAATGAAGAGCGCAGACTAAGACAAACAGCAGACACGACACCATAGAACTCACATCTGACCCAAAAGTAGTAAAAGACTCAAAGTAACTGATCATTCATAGTGCCCCTAGTATTTCTTATGTTCCCTTTACAAATCAATTTTGTAAAACTTGAGTTTTGATTCCTTTTTGTTGCTCAAGTTAGAGATTCTACTGATAAGTTCAAATATTGAAAATTTCTTCACTTATTGATTCAAGCTAGTTCTTTCTTACCTAATGCAAGTATGATATATGCAGCAGTCGGTCTAGCTCATGGACTATTGCGAGTCTGACAACGTGAATTGGGCAAGGTGACTGGGTTGAGATGAATAAGATGGATATGGTTGAGACCGCACTTCAGGATGAAGTTGCCTACGTATCCCAAGATGGGAATCAAGTCAACATAGTTCATGGATGAGGTTCACTTCAGATTCAATGCCACCCGAGAAAAGCCAATACAGTTGCCAATGCATTGAGCAAAAAATCAACGGGGAACTTAGCTTGTCTACTCACTGAACAAGAAGAGATCTTGCAAGATTTTGAGAAAACCAAGATTTAAATTGTGTTACATGAGCAAACTGGGTTGATAAGTTACATTTCAGTTGAGCCGACAATAATTGATGAAGTCAAACAAAGACAAAGAGAGAACAAATCCCTCAAGAAAATAATTGATGAGTTTGAAACAAATCCGAAACCAAAATTTAGCATTGATAGTGAAGTGTTGAAATTTCAAAACCGATTATGTGTCCCAAACATTCCTGAACTAAAGAAGAGAATCCTAGATGAAGCTCACAAGTCGATTTTTGCTATGCATCCTGGTAACAACAAAATGTATCGGGACTTGAAACAAAGCTATTGGTGGCCCAATATGAAGAAGAAGATCGCAGAATATGTGTCCAAGTGCCTTCAGTGTCAACAAGTTAAAGTTGAACACTAGAAACCAGGCGGTCTACTTCAACCTTTCCCTATTCTAGAATGGAAGTGGGAGCACGTAACCATGGATTTCGTTGTTGGCCTACCTCAGACTCTTAGAGGCATGGATTCTATTTGGGTTATAGTTGATAGACTAACCAAATCTACACATTTTTTTCCTGTGAAAACTACTTTTGATGCTTATAGATTAGCCACTATATACGTTGTTGAGATTGTTTGTTTACATGGAGTTCTGGTAAATATTGTATCAGATAGAGATCCGAAGTTTGTGTCTAGATCTTGGAGAAGTTTGCGAAAAGCAATGGGAACATAATTGAGATTTAGTACCGCATTCTATCTACAAACAGATAGGCAATCAGAACGGACCATATAGACTTTGGAAGACATGCTCAGAATGTGTACTTTAGATTTTCAAGGGAGCTGAGAGAATTATTTGCCACTAGCTGAATTTGTATAGAATAACAATTTCCACTCCAGTATCGATATGGCACCGTACGAACCCTTGTATGGCAGAAAGTGTAGATCACCAATTTGTTGGACAGAAGTCAGAGATAGAGCTTTACTTGGGCCCGAGATTGTACAACATACTTCTAAAAAGATTAAAATCATCCAACAAAGGCTCAAGATAGCACAGAGCTGGCAAAAGAATTATGCGGATGTTCAAAGAAAGCCTCTTGAGTATGAGGTTGCCGATCATGTATTTATCGGTGCAATTTCGATGAAAGGCCAGTCAAGATTTGGTAAGAAAGTAAATTGTCACCCTGTTACATTGGGCCGTTTCAAATTCTGGAAGGGCTTGGTCTAGTTGCTTCTAGAGTCGATTTGCCATTGGGATTAGAACAAATGCATAATGTATTCCATGTTTACATGCTGAGGGTTTATCTCCGAGATCCATTTCATGTGATAGACTACCACCGGATAGCACTTTATGAAAATATGGAATACGAACAATGGCCAGAACGGATCATTGATCGGCAAGTGAAGCAATTGAGAAACAAATCCATCCCAATGGTGAAGATGGAATGGAAATGACATTATAGGAAAGACGCTACATGGGAAAAGGAGGATGAAATGCAACTACACTATCTACACTTGTTTCTGAACAGAGGTAAAATAAGTTTAGAGGACCAAACTTTCTAAAGAGGGGGGGAAGATTGTGATAACCCTGTTCTGTATTGTGTTGATTAATCATGATTGTGTTTGTGATTATGTGCTTAGTTTAATTTAGGTGCTAATTATGTGAGAGTTTGTATTTTTGAAGTCATATATGTTCACCATAGGAAAACCTGTCCAATTTACTACTATAATTTGAAAATTGAAGGCCGTGGAGGTGGTAGAAATTGAAATTGACGGTACCATTGTGATTAGCATGATTTTTAGAGCCTATGGTGAAATTTGATTAAAAACTAATTCGTATCAAAATAATTAGATTAAATTGATTAAATTAAGCATATTAATTAGCCTTAATCAAGTTTGATTAGGCAATCATATATAAGGATCTATTTACACTTATGCTCATTCTTTTTTAGCTCATTTTTCATAACATGGTTGAAATTACACTCTAGAGAGAGAGAGAGAAAGAGAGAGAAAGAGGGACGGTTCTAGAGAGAGAGGAGGAGGATATTGTAGAATTGTCTCAAAACTTGAAGACTTGGAAGGCTAGGCTTAAGAATTAGCCATAATTGGAAGGGTTGAAGCTTCTAGGTGAGTAATTGAACTCAAATTCATGAGTTAAGTTCATAATTAAGCGAATTCAAAGATGTTATGTAGCCAAGAGCAAGATTTAAATTGAATATGATGAACTTGAACTTAATATGAACATGCATGTAAGAAATTGTCATGGTTTTGCATGGTTGAGCCTAAACCATGTAACCCATGTTGAATTGAGGGTTCTTTGATACATACATGCATGATTTTGTTGAGTCTCATGAGTTTGAGCATTAATTGTGCCATTTGCGATGAAAAAAGGAGCATTATTACACATGCATGCACAATCCATGGGGATATAGAATTTGTTGCATGGGTTTTGAAGTTATAGAAATGAAATTGAAATAATTTAAGTTTATGTGATGAATTTATGGGAATTTGAGCTTCAATCTTGTAAACATCAACATTTATATCATGATAGAAGTTGTATGGTTGACATATAGGCCATAATATGCAAATTACACCATGTAGAGTTGTGTTTTGAAGCTCAAAAAGTATGCTGAAAATTCTAGAATTTGACCTATCCACTCGAGCGAAGAAAGTCTCGCTCGAGCGTAAAAATCAAGCTTCCAGAAGTTTTACAGAGAATTGCATGGTAGCTCGAGAGGCAAACCTTGCGCTCGAGTGAACCCTGCTTTGCAAGACTCATCGCTCGAGCGACAGAAATCTTGCTGAAGCGTAAAATTCATGCAACCAGTGTTTTATAGAGTTTTGCAGACCACTCAAGCAACGAAAGTTGCGCTTGAGAGGAGTGCCCTGTTTTAGAAATTTTGAAAAGTCGCTTCATGTTCCGCTTTCTGTTCTCTTTCATTTCTAAGCACTCTCAGGCATACATTGAGCATTGTAAATGAACAAAAGGAATAAGAAAATGGCCTAAAAGAAATAAACAAGTTAAGAACAGATTGATTTGCTTGTGACCCAATGTATTATGAAATGCGTAGGGTCAAGCGCGAGAGCAAATCCATCGACTGAACACTGTGAGTAATATCTTAGTAAAGATATTTTTCAAGTATGTTATCTTCCAAATGCTATTTTTGTGCAAGCTTCATGGATTTGTTGATTTGAATTATGAATAAGTATCTGATATGCCTAATTTTGTATATGAAGAACATGATTTGGGCCCAAGGCCATTTGATATGTATGAATTGGGCTTGAGGTAGTTTGACACATTTGATATGTATGAATTGAGCCTTAGGTCATTTGATATGTTTTATATGTTTGAAATGGGCCTACGACCGTTTGATATGTTTGAATTGGGCCTGAGGCCATTTCATACGTTTGAATATTTTGATGGGCCAAAGGCCATTAGAATATGTATGTAATGAGCCAAAGGTCGTTTGAATAAAAAAATTGATTATGATCATGAATATGAATTGCGCATAAATATGAATATAGAAAATAATGGGCCCGAGGCCGTTTGATACGTCTGAAATGTTTGAATTAAGCCCGAGGCCATTTGATGAATAATGGGTCTAAGGCCGTTTGATATGTTTGATAAGGATCAAAATGGGCCTAAGGCCGTTTGTATTTGAAATTCATGGGTTCGACGTACTTAACATAAATCTCATTCATATAACCGCTTTACTTTGGTATGATCCACTAGGCGTTAGCTCACTCTTATTTATATGTATGTAGGTGAGCAAAGGGACGTTAAACCCCAGTCTTAGTGGAGTTTTATAAAGGAACCCGAGTTTTGTGGAGTCAGCCCAGGTGCCTCACGCAAGAGGCTTTGTTTGTGATCTTTTATATTTTCTTTTGCTACTTTCATTGGTCATGATAGACCATTTATGTGTATAAGCTTTTGGTATAACTAACTATATGTTTGAATAATCCTGGGTGTACAAAATGTTAACTATTAATATGTGGTGTGAGTCATTATCAAGTATATGAGGAATGTTTTGGATATGCCATGTAAGCACAACTCATTGGACAAAATTTTTAAAGTCTGCTTCCACTTTGGCCCTTATGTATAATTAAGATACGTTTAAACTTGTTTAAGGACGTAGGTAATCTGATGATTACTGGTCGGTTATGACCTTAATCTATAGAGACGAGTTCGGGTCATGACAAGACTACTGCACTATCTACTTTTCTCCCCGCTTCCTGCTTTCCTCTTTGCTTCACCACCAGAATCCAGTCTCCTCGTTTGGAATCCATGGTAGATATCCTTCCGGAGCCTAGTAGTTACTCAAACATAACACTTAAATGTAATACTCCAAAAAATACTCCTTAGTGTGCTTTTTCCAAACGTAACACTCCAATGTAATATTTCGACATACTTTTCTTAAATGTAACACTCTAAGGTAACACTACAATACTAAAAAAACTCCTTAATGTACTTTCCCAAATGCAACGCTCTAACACTCTAATACTAAAAAACTCCTTAGTGTATTTTTCGCAAACGTAACACTCTAACACTCTAACGTAATACCCTAAAAAACTCCTTAGTGTACTTTCTCAAACGTAACACTCCAACACTAAAAAACTCCTTAATGCACTTTTCCAAACGTAACACTCCAAAAAAAAAAAAAACTCTTTAGTGTACTTTTTGCAAACGTAACACTCTAACACTCCAACGTAACACACTAAAAAATTCCTTAATATACTTTTCGCAAACGTAACACTCCAACGTAACACTAACAAATTCTTTAGTGGAAATTTTTCCAAACATAACACTCCAACGTAACTTCCCAAATGTAACACTACAATGAGGCAGACAAATGAATCATTACACATCCAAAATGATACTACAAAAAAATTACTTTTTTGCGACGGCAAAAAAAAAAACTCTTTAGTGTACTTTTTGCAAACGTAACACTCTAACACTCCAACGTAACATACTAAAAAATTCCTTAATATACTTTTCGCAAACGCAACACTCCAACGTAACACTAACAAATTCTTTAGTGGAAATTTTTCCAAACATAACACTCCAATGTAACTTCCCAAATGTAACACTACAATGAGGCAGACAAATGAATCATTACACATCCAAAATGATACTACAAAAAAATTACTTTTTTGCGACGGCAAGTGGGGGGTCGCAACAAAGGGGGTTGCAAAAGGGTTTTAGCGACGGCATAACGCCGTCGACTTTTTTTTGCGACGGTAAAAATGCCTTTTCGCGACGAAAAAATTCTGTCGGCATTAACGCGTGAAAATCTGAGTTTTTTTGAGATGGCACTGTTTTGCCATCGCTAAAAAGGTTATTTGCGACGACAAAAATACCGTCGCTAAAGGGTTATTTGAGATAGCACCTGATGCCGTCGCTAAAGTACTATTGGCGACGGCAAATAACAACGTCACTAAAGGTCTTCCTTTTCAACCAATTCCCTTATCTTTTGCGACAGCATTATTGCCGTCGCAAAAAACCCTGGTTCTATTTTCTTTTTGAGACGGTGTGTGTGGTGCTGTCTCAAAAAAAAAAAAAAAACTGTAATAAAATTGTTAAAAATATGAAAATAACCTGTATTAAATGAAAAATAACTAAAAAAAAAAATCAATAATTACATAATAATATAAAAAGTCCAGTATATAAATAAAAATTCATCCATAATTAAAATATTCTTCCATTCATAACAATATATCAGCAAAATTATCCCATTACATAATGTTGCATAATACATACATAATGTTGTTCATAAATCTAAATAACGTAAATCAAAAACAAAAGTTTTCGTCATGATTCTTCCATGGGTTACAAAAACAAAAGTTGGTCATAATTTTTACACGCCTGTATTCCACAAGAAGCAAACTGCTACTCAGGAAATATCTGAAAATAACAAAATAAAAATAATTAATGACAATATAATTGTGTTAATATTTTAATTATAGAAAAACATAAAAAATTAACTACTATATAATTACAAAGATAGTTTAGTAAATAATTTTGGCCAAACAGAAATCCGGCCCAAACTCCCAAACCGGAAACTCGATTGGAGTCCCGTCTTCTCCCACAAGTCTATCGTGCCTAAGCGGTCGTGTGTGCCAAGTTTCGTGCTAAACCGAAGTCGTTTGGTGGTTTTGGGGGGCCAACACCTCGAATTCAAGTTTCTTAAGGAACTAGTTTGCCTAGACCGAAATCCGGCTCTAACTCCCAAACCGGGAACCCGATTGGAGTCCCATCTTCTCCCACAAGTCTCTCGTGCCTAGGCGGTCGTGTGTGCCAAGTTCCATGTCAAACCGACGCCATTTGATGATTTTGGGGCGTCAACAACTCGAATTCAAGTTTCTTAAGGAACTAGTTTGCCTAGACCGAAATCCGGCTCTAACTCCCAAACCGGGAACCTGATTTGAGCCCCGTCTTCTCTCACAAGTCTCTCATGCCTAGGCGGTCGTATGTGCCAAGTTTCACGTTAAACCGACGTCGTTTGGTGATTTTGGGAGGTTAACACCTCGAATTCAAGTTTCTTAAGGAACTAGTTTGCCTAAAGTGAAATCCGGCTCAAACTTCCAATCCGGGAACCCGATTCGAGTCCCGTCTTCTCCCACAACTCTCTCGTGCCTAGGCTTTCGTGTGTGCCAAGTTTCGTGCTAAACCGACGTCGTTTGGTGATTTTGGGGCGTCAACATCTCGAATTCAAGTTTCTTAAGGAACTAGTTTGCCTAGACCGAAATCCGACTCTAACTCCCAAACCGGGAACCCGATTGGAGTCCTGTCTTCTCCCACAAGTCTCCCGTGCCTAGGCAATTGTGTGTGCCAAGTTTCGTGCTAAACCGATGCCGTTTGGTGATTTTGGGGTGTCAACACCTCGAATTCAAGTTTCTTATGGAACTAGTTTGCCTAGATCGAAATTTGGCTCTAACTCCCAAACCGGGAACCCGATCGGAGTCCTGTCTTCTCCCACAAGTCTCTCATGCCTAGGCGGTCGTGTGTGCCAAGTTTCGTGCTAAACCGACGTCGTTTGGTGATTTTGGGGCGTCAACACCTCGAATTCAAGTTTCTTAAGGAACTAGTTTGCCTAGACCGAAATCCGGCTCTAACTCCCAAACCGGGAATCCGATTGGAGTCCCGTCTTCTCCCACAAGTCTCTCGTTCCTAGGCGGTCGTGTGTGCCAAGTTTCATACTAAACTGACGCCGTTTGGTGATTTTAGGGCGTCAATACCTCGAATTCAAGTTTCTTAAGGAACTAGTTTGCCTAGACCGAAATACGGCTCTAACTTTCAAACCGGGAACCCGATTGGAGTCCCGTCTTCTCCCACAAGTCTTTCGTGCCTAGGCGGTCGTGTGTGCCAAATTTCGTGCCAATCCGACTCCGTTTGGTGATTTTGGGGCGTCAACACCTCGAATTCAAGTTTCTTAACGGATTTTGGGGCATCAACACCTCGAATTCAAGTTTCTTAAGGAATTAGTTTGCCTAAAGTGAAATCCGGCTTTAACTCCCAATCCGGGAACCCAATTTGAGTCCCATCTTCTCCCACAAGTCTCTTAGCTTAAAATGCAAAGAATGTAAAGATACATTTTAGCTTAAAATGCAAAGATACATTTTATACCTGATCTTCTGGTGATGGTATGTTTCTTTGGTATTAATTCAAACAAAAAAATGTTTGAATTAATACCCTTTCTTGCTAATGCCCAAACGGACTTCTCCAACTTTCTCTTTTTCTGTGCCCACTTGGGCCCATATATTGCTAAATGTGTCCGGCCAAACCGTCGGTCAGAAATCTGTACATAATAATAAAGAACAAATTATGCACTCAAATCTCAATTGTAATCTGGCTCAACCTAAAGAACAAAATAATACACCATATCAGAAACTACAATTGTTTTTGCTTACATGATAGCAATGTGTTCCACTCTGCTAGGAACAACAAATAAACCAAATTGATATTTAAAGAAAGCTACTAATCCATACACAAAGAATCAATTCAATCTATGCAAATTACAACTGCTCTTCATTTTCTGATGCCTAGTCTGAATCTTTAGATTTAAACATTTATTTAAAGATGTAAAAGAAGTAATAAGTCAGAAGAGCAGCCATTTATCTTCATTTATAAATTAAATGCCAACAGAAAAACAAATGGTCATAGGAAGTACCTTTATGAGGCATCCACATGAATCCAACATGCATGTTCTTAAAGGATACTCTACTACATAGAACACAAAATTTGGAAGTTTCGGAAGAAACTTCGATGAAAACTATACACATAAAAATGAATTTTGCAGCGACGGGAAAAACACCAACTTACTATAAAGGTATCCTCTCCAACTACAGATGATTTTGAAACTTGATCCATCAGTACCCCATAATCCACTTTAGTATATGGAGGTGTCACACTAATATAATCAAATGGCCCATCTTTTCTAACACAAAAACAATTCATAAGTTGCAACGTCTCTATAAGAATATAGACTTCAGTCTTCAAATCACAGAAAGACAAGAACAAATCAATAGAAAATGGTGTACAGGGCTTGGTGTAAGGAAGCGATAATCACGAGTGATAAATGTCATGGTGGGTAAATTGTGATCATTATCTTTTGCCCTTTCGTCAAAGACAATGCAATCATTCTTAGTAAAGATAGAAAATGAAAGGAAAACTATCAGAAGACAACCATGCATGGATCTCATATACAAACACACAAAACATGCATAAAAGAGCATACACAAAGACAAGCAAACACATGAGAATAAGAAATGATATACTAAAAATAAATTCAATCTATAATACTGGCAAGCAATAGTACTTCTATTGGTTATAGTAGATAAAAATATATTCCTCTCAATAGTCAGAACATAGGAGTTAAGGTAATAATTGAACTGACAACCTAGAATAGTACTTTTGGCAACTACACAACAATTAGAAATGATTGTTTGCAAATGGCCAGAAATCACAAAGAGAGAGAGAAAGAGAGCAAAGAAGAAGAAATCACATACCTACAAACTGCTCAGCCTGTTGTAAGAATCTTTCGACATGGGCTGTATGTATGACAGAAACATCAAGAAAACTAGTCCATTCTAAATTTGGTCGTAGAACATCTGAAACAACCCAAGGATCCATCTCGATAAAATGCACCTGACAGTATGCACAGCCTGTATTTCAGTGCAAACCAATAAGAGAAACATGAAATCAAAACAGCAAAAGAAACTAAAACCAAACAACTCATCAAAAAATCTCATTGCCAAAACTCAAGTCAAACGCATCTTTTCAACTATATCATGAAGCTACTCCATCCTATATAAGTTCAGCATTAATTTACCAGCTAGCCAATCAGCCAAACATCGTTACCAATGCTATAAACAGTTATCTATTTTATTTATATAAATCATACACCTGAGTTGATGTGAAAGCTATCATGCTTTTTACTTTTCTAATAATGCCTTTCCAATCTTGTAACTCTCAACCCCTTCCTACCTAGTAATAGTAACTATCACATCCTAACTTTTAGAATGCTTTTTCTCCTTCGTCAAATAGTCCAAAATTGTTAATTAATTTTTCTCAAACATCAAACTATCCAAAAATTTAATTAAAAAATCACTGCTAGTTTACTAAATTAATCATAGTACCTCAGAACATCCCCAGCTGAGAGCCTCAATACCAACAGATCCTGTGCCGCTATACAAGTCTAACCAACGACCAGGCCTTAAAGATGCAGGACAACCACTGGCCGTCTTAATAAAACAACATTATAAGTATATAGGTTAATTGCAGACAAAGAAGTTGAAGTATCATCTTGTTTCTAGAACTAGAGGACAAATTTGAAGAATAAGATATCATTTACCTGCAAAATGTCAAAGGCTGCACCTTTTACAACTTCCATCATTGGGCGTACATCCATGCCCTTTGGTGAGAGCAATTTCTTCCTTTTAGTTGTTCCTCCAAGCACCTAAAATCACCAGTAAGGTTGATATTACTTCTTTTCTGATGATGCATATATTGAACTATTCATATTAAGAAAAAACAATAATGAAAAATTTATCACTATAGCGTATCCTTGAAAATGGCAAGCCTCAATTCTGTAAGTTAACCTTTGCATTCACATCTAAACAAACCAAGACAGACACTTAGATGGACATTGAACTACAGTTTTTCTAGTTAGATCACATTCTCTCTCTCTCCCTCTCTCTCTCTCTCTCAAGTAGTTTGATCACACTTTGTATCTGTTTGAGTTTGAGCACACTTGGGAGTGATTCAAATGCACTACTTGAATAGAAAATTGGTTTCCAATTGTGCATAATTTTCCAAAACCATTGAGAATAAGGGCAGTTAATATTCATTTAATCAACAAGCTACAAGCTCCATCCATGAAAAGTTCCATATTAATTAATGAACCAAATTGTGGTGAAATAGTAAAATAATCCCAAAATTCTTATATCAAATTGAAACATCACAATGTATATGTATTTACCCAAACTCATTGAATACACAGACAAATTCAAGCCATTCCACACTTGAAGCAATTTCTGAGTCTCCCATTTGTAGACGTCCCCGAACGCCCCGGGAGGGTGAGTCCCGTTCTGTTCATTTGTGGGGTCACTATAGCTCGGACTCTCAAATTGCCACGGTTCTTAATCTGAACCAAAGAGTCCAAATCCGGCAAATCGTTTTGAGAAACAGATTTTTGAAAAGTAGTGCCAAACATGGACTGCTTTGCCAGATACAGAGTCGCCACCTAAATATTTTTTAATGGGGAAATTTAGGAAACCCTGACTCGGTACCGAAGGCCACATGTCCATCATCACCGGAGTTGTCTTGGCTCGGGAGCTTGGGTACGATCGGGGAAGGTCAGCTATGAGCACCCCCTTTCGCCCGATCCGAAGATCGGCCTCTACTAACCGTGATATCAACTCATCAAAAAATCTCATTGCCAAAACTCAAGTCAAACGCATCTTTTCAACTATATCATGAAGCTACTCCATCCTATATGAGTTCAGCATTAATTTACCAGCTAGCCAATCAGCCAAACATCGTTACCAATGCTATAAACAGTTATCTATTTTATTTATATAAATCATACACCTGAGTTGATGTGAAAGCTATCATGCTTTTTACTTTTCTAATAATGCCTTTCCAATCTTGTAACTCTCAACCCCTTCCTACCTAGTAATAGTAACTATCACATCCTAACTTTTAGAATGCTTTTTCTCCTTCATCAAATAGTCCAAAATTGTTAATTAATTTTTCTCAAACATCAAACTATCCAAAAATTTAATTAAAAAATTACTGCTAGTTTACTAAATTAATCATAGTACCTCAGAACATCCCCGGCTGAGAGCCTCAATACCAACAGATCCTGTGCCGCTATACAAGTCTAACCAACGACCAGGCCTTAAAGATGCAGGACAACCACTGGCCGTCTTAATAAAACAACATTATAAGTATATAGGTTAATTGCAGACAAAGAAGTTGAAGTATCATCTTGTTTCTAGAACTAGAGGACAACATTTGAAGAATAAGATATCATTTACCTGCAAAATGTCAAAGGCTGCACCTTTTACAACTTCCATCATTGGGCGTACATCCATGCCCTTTGGTGAGAGCAATTTCTTCCTTTTAGTTGTTCCTCCAAGCACCTAAAATCACCAGTAAGGTTGATATTACTTCTTTTTTGATGATGCATATATTGAACTATTCATATTAAGAAAAAACAATAATGAAAAATTTATCACTATAGCGTATCCTTGAAAATGGCAAGCCTTAATTCTGTAAGTTAACCTTTGCATTCACATCTAAACAAACCAAGACAGACACTTAGATGGACATTGAACTACAGTTTTTCTAGTTAGATCACATTCTCTCTCTCCCTCTCTCTCTCTCTCTCTCTCAAGTAGTTTGATCACACTTTGTATCTGTTTGAGTTTGAGCACACTTGGGAGTGATTCAAATGCACTACTTGAATAGAAAATTGGTTTCCAATTGTGCATAATTTTCCAAAACCATTGAGAATAAGGGCAGTTAATATTCATTTAATCAACAAGCTACAAGCTCCATCCATGAAAAGTTCCATATTAATTAATGAACCAAATTGTGGTTAAATAGTAAAATAATCCCAAAATTCTTATATCAAATTGAAACATCACAATGTATATGTATTTACCCAAACTCATTGAATACACAGATAAATTCAAGCCATTCCACACTTGAAGCAATTTCTGAGTCTCCCATTGGCGGCTTAGGTTCCTCCGGTGGGACCTGTTTTCCCCTCCCTATCTTTCGCAGTTCCTTTCTCCTTGTCTATGCGTTCAAAATCCAAACTTTATTTACATTATTATCATACATATTATATACATATATATTGATATTAGAGAGAGAGAGAGAGAGACCTTAGGAGAAGGTTTTGATAGAAAGTCGTCGGGATTAAGACCGTATCGTTCGAGAAACTCTCTCTTCTGATCACTCGATAGTCCATTAATTGATTCTGAAATTGTCACATTAAGAAAAAAAGAGTAAGTAAAAAAAGAATTGAAAGATTTGGATTTGTAGAATGGAGACTTACTGAAAGAGTAGACGACAATCGATTGTGGTCGTCGTCGTGACCAAAAAAAGAGTAGACATCAAAATCAGATATTACTTATATAGAACAAAAAATGGAGCAATCAAATATTACAGTTTTGAATCATAGCAATGAGAGAAACGCACCTGATCTCTATACAAGATGAGTGACCAAAATAAATTACTGTGGGCTTCCGAAAGAGAGAGAGAGCATACGTACTGCCCGAGCTCAGAGAGAGAGATCGTAACACGCCATCGCCGCACCACCGCTAGCCGTCGTCACTCGTTGAGAGAGACATCGTCAGTGAACACTCGTCGTCGTCGCTGTGATTGTCGGTGAACTCGAACACCGCTAGTCGTCACCGTCGTCGCTCGTCGAGAGATGGAGAGAGATCGTCGTCGAACTCATCTCTGGGGATTTTGGGATTTTGGGGGTTTTGAGGGAGAATGGTGTTAGGGATTTTGGGGGTTTTGAGGGAGAAAGGTGTTAGGGATTTTGGAGATTTTAGGGAATTTGATCGAGCGCCATTTTGGCTAAAGAAGGGAGATGAAATTTCAGACTATTTGCGACAGCATGGCAAAACCGTCACAAATGATCAAATCCATTTATAAAACGACGCCGTTTTATTAAGGGTTTTTTTTTTTTTTTTTTGCGACAGAGCATTCCCGTCACAAATGTCCACTATTTGCGATGGTAAATTTCACCCGTCTCACAAAAATGTTTTTCGCGACGGTATATGCCGTCGCAAAAGACCACTTTTTGCGACGGTATACACGCTGTCACAAAACGTTCCGTGTTATTTGCCCACTTTTCTTGTAGTGATGACTAAATGGATCACAAGAAAAAAAATATGAGACTATATGAATCACAAGTCTAAAATATAGGATTTATTGGTCAATCGCCCTAAGATTAATTATATTTTTTATTTTTATAATTTGATTTAAATTTTGTTTTAGCTCCTATAATTTTAAATTAAATAATTTGATTCCTACACTTTAAGTTCACTTTAATTTGGTCTTTCTGCCTGAATCGGAGATTAAAATTAACAATTTTGGAATACTTGTCAATTTTCTAAAGCGAACATGTAAACAAAATTAATAGAAATTTAGACAGAATGACCAAATTAAAACTGAACTTAAAGTGTAGAGACCAAATTATTTAAATTGAAATAATAAGAATAAATGTATAATTTAGATCAAACTATATGTCTCAAAAGTGCAATTAGAGTGTGTCTTGACATAAGGATAAAAGATCTCATGACAAATTTGACATTTACATTCTTTACACTTTTACGTGATATAATTTTGTCTACATAAACTTATTGTACTATTTGACATACTCCCTTCATCCCAATTTGTTAGTCCTTTTTTGGGGATTTCAACCTTTTAAGAGGCATCCAATCATTACAATTAAATTTAAATTTTAAAATATTTTTCCAATAATACCCCTATCTTTTCAAATTTTTAATATGTTTATAATTACTCAAAAAGCATAATTTTAGAAAATCAAATATTTTTTATTTCAACATTTCATGGGACTATTATTTTGGGACATCTCAAAATGAAATAGTGGACGTAGTTACTACTTGGGGTTGGCAATAAGCTGTAAAGCTTGCCCTGGAAAATAACAACTCCATTCAAGATTGGATTGCACAAAAACAAGCTGGTAAATTGATCATACAAATTATGCGAAGGTAACATACTGTGTGAGTTTTCTAACCACACTACCCGCTTAGTAACCAGCTGGAGAGCACCGGCAGAATAGATGACACCTGGCTGACCTGCAACAGAAAGAGAAGATTTCGGCGGTGGTTCGTCCACCCGGGGGCACTCCGATAATCAAGTCAGTATATCTGTCAAAGATAAATCAAGTGCTAAACTCACAAGCTTGAGTATCAAAAGCATACCTTAGACCCATGGAGGTGCATCTCTTTTATAGCCAACATAAACCTAGTCCCAATAGAAGCCTAACTTCTATGGACTCAGAATTACTGCTAATCTTGGACTCCCAGTAAGATTAGGATAAACTCTCTAAGAGTCTTATCTTAATACAAACTGAAGTCTTCTCTTATTCTAGGACTCTTGCCCCTCATCCGCTTATCTCGAATTTCGATATCTTCGGAGGTAACCTCGGCGTATCCGAGATGACCTCGGCATAACAACCAGGACACGTGGCACCTCGGCTGACACATCAGCGTCACCTTGGCCACGTGTTGATACTCAGAAAATATATCCCCACAACTACCCCCTAGGCTCTATTATCTCGGCATTCTGAGGTAATGGAACCTATACATGTACTCCTTCGGCCGAGATCGTGACTTGTCGGCGCCAAGAAATAAGGACTCATATGTCCACTCGTCAAGAATCAAGAATCAAGAATCAAGAATTAAGACGCCGACCTCAAAGTTCCCTGGACTTTACTGTCCACTTCTGTCAAGTATCAAGCTTCATGCTTTCCAAGCTGCTCGAGATCACACCTCCTGGCCGAGGTTCTTGTTCCATTAATTCGTAAACTCTAAGAGCTTTGCAATTGCTCCACTCACATTCTTCGGTGGGTTCATGACTTCCAGTCATCTATTTGACTCCGGCGATCTTCATATCGGCGTTCATTTCTCTTGGTAGGTTCATAAACTCTTTTATTAAGCTCAATCTTTCATAACTCTTCTGAATCCGTTTACTTGCCCTCTGTTGTCTTCTATTTTCGTCTGTTTTCAAGTTTTGAATTGTTTGAACGCCTGGCACTGTTCTTGCCATATCCGCTTTCTGTTGCTAGCATCATGTCTGGGTCATTACTTTCTTATTCTTCACATACTTACTTAGTGCTTGTGCACTTGGCTTTATTCTTGAACTTTGTCGCCTTCTTGACTCTGATTTTTCTCTTTTTTCATTCAATCCTTCGGTTTTTTATCTTTCTAGCTCTTTTGCTTAAATCCGTCATTGTTCAAAGCTTTCAAGCTCTGCAACTGTTTTCGTTCCTCTCCTCCGGTGAAGCTTACATCATTCTGTCATTTTCGCATCCGTCGTCAGACTTCGGCAATTCTCATTCTGGCTTCCCTCTTTCTGGTAAGCCACTGTTCCTCTTGGTTTTATTTCTTGTTGCTTTCCAAGAAGCTTTGCTTCATTGTTAATCACCATTGCTGTTTTACCCGTTGTTTCCAAATCATCTTCTTGAATACGCACTGTTCACACATCTGTTGATTTTTGCCATTGTTCTTGGCTTGACACACCTGTGCAATCTTTTTGTCTTGATTTCCTGATAGCTTCATCATCATTCTTGATTACGAATTACATTCTTGTTTTCAAACTCTGAGGTGCCAGTCGCCGAGAAGAGCTTTGATCAAACTCTTCGGGAGATCGATGCTGAGCTCGAGGCCGAGAAGGCTGCTGAGAAGTCTTCCCAACTGTCTTCTATATCCTGCCATTGATGCCGAGTAGTTTTGTTTTCTTCTTTTACTCCTTGTACATTGTACCTTGTACTTTGTCTTTTTTTGTATGCTTTTAATCCGGCCGACGTGCCATTTTTGTAGTCTGAATAACTTATTTTTCAATATTTAGGCCGAAGTGCCTTCTTTCTTCTTTAAATGCATTTCTTTAATTTCATCTTTGAATGAATGTCTTCTTTTTTCTGCTCTTGTATGATTCTACACTTAGAATAATTTGTATGTCTTCAAAGTACACCTTGACTGTGCTATCTCTTCGGGTAAAATACCTCTGTCACAACTTCTAATCTTGTTCATCTTAGCCTTGTCCTAACACTTGAAAATATTGTAACAAATATTTTCACAAGTGTTGCTTAGGACTTGTCACTTTCTCAATGTCTTCTATCAAAACTTCAGTTTTCCATATTTCAAGTTTTCACAACCTGGTAGTCTCGGCAAGTACGCAGATATTGCTTGAGCTTGACTTGAACTTGTAAATTTTTCTCAAAAATTTCAACAAGTGTTTTAACCATCATCCTTTATCATAACCTCGGCTTAACTTTAGCTTGTAAATTTTTCTCAAAATTTCAACAAGTGTTAAACCATCTTCCTTTCGATACGACCTCGGTTTAACTATAACTTGTAAATTCACACAGAATCTCAACAAGTGTTAAATATCACATTGGTTTAACTTCAACTCGTAAATTCACACAAAATTTCAACAAGTGTTAAATATCACATCGGTTTAAATTCAACTTGTAAATTCACACAGAATTTCAACAAGTGTTAAACATCATCTCGGTTTAACTTCAACTTATAAATTCACACAGAATTTCAACAAGTGTTAAATATAATATCGGTTTTAACTTCAACTTGTAAATTCACACAGAATTTCAACAAGTGTTAAATATCACATTGGTTTAACTTCAACTCGTAAATTCACACAGAATTTCAACAAGTGTTAAACATCATGTTTAGTTTAACTTCAACTTGTAAATTCACACAGAATTTCAACAAGTGTTAAATATCACATTGGTTTAACTTCAACTCGTAAATTCACACAAAATTTCAACAAGTGTTAAATATCACATCGGTTTAAATTCAACTTGTAAATTCACACAAAATTTCAACAAGTGTTAAATATCACATTGGTTTAACTTCAACTCGTAAATTCACACAAAATTTCAACAAGTGTTAAATATCACATCGGTTTAAATTCAACTTGTAAATTCACATAGAATTTCAACAAGTGTTAAACATCATCTCGGTTTAACTTCAACTTATAAACTCACATAGAATTTCAACAAGTGTTAAATATAATCTCGGTTTTAACTTCAACTTGTAAATTCACACAGAATTTCAACAAGTGTTAAATATCACATTGGTTTAACTTCAACTCATAAATTCACACAGAATTTCAACAAGTGTTAAATATCACATCGGTTTAACTTCAACTTGTAAATTCACACAGAAGTTGAACATTATACTGGTTTAACTCAACTTGTAAATTGCTACAAATTTCAACAAGTGGTAAACATCATATCGGTTTAACCAACTTGTAAATTGCTACAAATTTCAGCAAGTGGTAAACATCATATCGGTTTAACCAACTTATAAATTGTTACAAATTTCAACAAGTGGTAAATATCATATCGGTTTAACCAACTTGTAAATTGCTACAAATTTCAGCAAGTGGTAAACATCATATCGGTTTAACCAACTTGGAAATTGCTACAAATTTCAACAAGTGGTAAACATCATATCGGTTTAACCAACTTGTAAATTGCTACAAATTTCAAAAGTGGTAAACATATTCTTCTTCTCTCTACCCCCTGCATGGCTTCCACATACTCCTTTACGAACCTTATAAAAGGTCTTCAACCTGGCTAACTGCAGTCCAACCTTGTGTGTGTTTTTCTTTTTTTTTTTTATCTTCTGGGATCTGAGATCTGCTCACTGAGCTCTTCTCTTCTTGAACTTAAGTGTCGAGATCTTGTCTGCTAGAATCTTGGATCTGCTCATTCAGGTTGAGCTCTTCTCTTCTCGAACCTACTCATCTAGGCCGAGATCATGTCTTCTAAGATCCGAGATCCAGGATCTGGAATCCGGGATCTGCTCACTTAGGATGAGTTCTTCTATACTTGAGTGTTATCTCCTTAGGAGCGCTTATGCCCCCTGTCTTTGCATTCCTTCTGGAAGGGTTTTCGTTTCTCCGCAGGTATCTATCCTTTCATACCTGGAGGTCATCTTCGTTTGTAGTATCTGCTTCGATCTGTTGTCTTTGGCGCGTCACCTTTCTGGCCGGCGTCTTTCACTCCATGACTCTGGTCACGAGTTTCTGTGTTGCGGTCGTCCCCTTTAATGTCGAGGTTGATAGGTCTCCCACTCCCAGCAGGAGCGTTGTCTCCAATCTGATCCTTCTGTCTGTCATTAGCCTTCTATTCTTCTTTGTTTCATTGGCCATCTATTTTTCTTTCTTTCCGACAGACGACGCCAAATTGTGTGAGTGATTTTCTGACCACACTACCTCCTTAGTAACCAGCTGGAGAGCACCGGCAGAACAGATGGCACCTGGCTGACCTGCAATAGAAAGAGAAGATTCCGGCAGTGGTTCGTCCACCCGGGGGCACTCCGACGATCAAGGCAGCATATCTCTCAAAGATAAATCAAGTGCTAAACTCACAAGCTTGAGTATCAAAAGCATACCTTAGACCCATGGGGGTGCCTCTCTTTTATAGCCAATACAATCCTAGTCCCAATAGGAGCCTGGCCCTAATGGACTTAGGATTACTGCCAATCTGGGACTCCCAGTGGGATTAGGATAAACTCTCTAAGAGTCTTATCTTAATACAAACTGAAGTTTTCTCTCATTCTAGGACTCTTGCCCCTCATCCGCTTATCTCGGATTCCAATATCTTCGGAGGTAACCTCGGCGTATCCGAGATGACCTCGGCATAACAACCAGGACACGTGGCATCTCGGCTGACACGTTGGTGTCACCTTGGCCACGTGTTGGTACTCAGAAAATATATCCCCACACATACAATACTAGAGTGTCTCTTACAATTAAAAACCATAAGAGTGAATAGAGCAAAGCACAAGTGGACAAAAAAAATAGAAACACCGCGTTCACAACCCTTCAGTATAGGTTACCCCAGTGGACTTCAATCATGATCCTCCTTGTATCAACTGAGCCACTATAGACTTCACAGCTTCGGTCGCACTAGTAATGACATGATATCCAACCCATGTGACACGCTTGCTGGTATCTACACCGGGACCATCATTCATATACTCACCATAATACGACGTACTCAAAGCAAAATCACACTAAAGGTCAATATAGTTCCCAATGTATGATTCCATGAAAGCATTCCTCGCGTAAGCCTTCCATGGACGACCCAAATACGATTTTATAGTGCCTTTAATGAGCTCAAGGTCCGAGCTAGCTGTCACATTACAGCTTTGGATTAAAGTTCCAGTGTTTTGGTTTGGGTCAGTTCGACCTTGGACCGTTACTGTGTTGAACTGTCCACTCATGGGCTTTCGGCACACTATGTTACAGTTTTCGAACACAACCGTTGCGTTGCCAAAGATGAAGTCCATTGTGCCAGTAATATAGCTATCTCTGTAGAATTTCCTGTTAGTGTAGGTGTAGAGAGTGTTTTGGTAAGCATCAATGCGACAACGATTTACGACCGACTAGTCACCTCCGACGCGTAACGCTACTGCTTGGTGCTTCGCCGCGCCGACTATGTTTTGAAACCACATGTCTTGGGCCATGAATCCATCACCAACAACAGCTACAGTGGTAATGACAATTGAGTTAATGAAATGATTTATATTTAAAATTGAAAGAGAAATAAGACATTTAGGCCCGTTTGTTTTGGAGTATAGAGGGAGGGATGAGATTAAAATAAAGGTGAGACTCATTTAATGTTGTGCTTGTTTGAAAATTTGGGGAACGGATTGAGATGAAGGTCCGGATTAGGTTGGGCCTTAGAAAGGAGATTGGGAAGGAGGAGGTGGAGGTGGTATTACAAAAGTCTGCCGGACTATTATTTTTTTTAGTTTTTACATGTTGGGCATTTTTTTTTCTTTTTGAATATCAATGTTTAATTTTTTTGTATTTTTTGTTAAGTAAAAATCATTGTTTTATTTGTTTTATTTTTTTCTATTTTTTACATGTTGGCCATATATATATATATATTTTTTTAACATTAATGCTTAATGTTTTTTTATTTTTTTATTTGTTTTATTATTTTATATAAAAATAATTTAACAATCCGTACACCAACAACTATCATCAAAATAAACACAATTTTATTTAATTCCCCCACTATCAATCCCTTCAGTATGAATCCCCTTCATTCTACCTCTGAAAATAAACGGACCTTAAGTATGTGTGATTTTAATATCATTTTGTTCTTCAATTTTAACTCGAATAGATAAATTATATATTTTGTTGACGTATGTTTTACTAATAAGAAACAAAGTACGATTGTTGCAGGAAAACTATATATCAAACTAAATCAAAGAGTAAGATGATTTACCAACAGTTGCAGAATTGAATGTTGTAGCTCCATCGACCACATTCAGGCTACCAGTGATGATGGTCAAATCCATTCCATCACCAGTAAGCATAATATTCTTCTTAGTCTTCCCAATCACAACATTTTCATTATAAGTACACTGCTTATAGTTCTCACTTCCGTCCTTCGCTACCACCACGTTGGCGTTGACAGTCCCCGCCAAGACCTCCAAAAGATTTCGGTCCCTAGCCATCACCCACCATGGAAACTCCTCGATCAACCGCGGCGGCTCAAACTTATTTGAGGCGTTGAAAGAGATAAATTAAGTGAGACCCTTTATACTATTTTAATATTTTGGGATGCAAAATTATTAATCAAATTTTTATTCAAATTTTTTTGACATAACTAATGTATCGTGTGCTGTGATAAATTTTATGTATATTTTATTAAGGAGAAAGCTTGTCCACAAAATAAACTGGATTGTGCTTCGAGCCAGTGGGGCCATCACTGGTCCTATTTCAATGATTCGAATTGTTAAATATGTAGAATTCGTCAAGTATTTCGTTCTTGTCAAAAATCACGTTGATCGGGTATCGATAGCCCTTTGATCAGAACACATTTTTAACAATAATTTATTTTTAAAATCATATTTACCACTGAAAAAAATATGATCTAATCAGGGGCTATTGATATTCCTGATCAACGTGATTTTTTACAAGGATGAAGTACTCGATAATTTCTACACATTGAATGGTTCGAATCATCAAAATGGGACCTGTGATGCGC